TACTAAACAATAAATATGTGCTTATTGACTGAGTGGGAGGACAGGACGGTAAAATGTTTGGCTGTAGGTCGTGATGTACAACTAAGGACGAATTTTTTTTTACCCTTTTTTTCCCCTTTAAGGTTTTGCAACAAAGATATGTGAGTGCAAGGCTAGAAGGCTTTTTCCGGACTGGCTCACATCAACCCAGTCGGCCCCACACACATCAGTTTTAACTATGGTTTTCTATGGGATTGTGCTTGCAGGCCTGTACGGGTCCTATGATAATATACATTTAAGGTATGGTCCCGAGGGAAACGATTAGTTTTGTTTTCCTCACAGTCCTGGACTTGAGGGAAAACAAAACTAACAAGTTTCCCGAGGGACCCTACATTAAGTGCTTTGTTATATATTTAGACTTTCCCTTAAACAATCATATGGCAAAAATCTGCTGTTGTATTTGGCGCGCGGGCAACAACTGCGCAATTGTAGATCGGTCGGGATACATTTGAATTTGATTAGTGGCACGTGACCCATAATCAACCAACCACAGCGCTTATTTTGTTGAGTGAAAGTCTAGGTATCTTACAATATCTGTTATTAAACATTCTCTTACGTCATAACTACAGACAAAAGATTTTATATATGTAGAAGTAAGGTCATACGTACAGACAATAGTTTTATGCGCTCTTGTCTTTACAAGTGCAGCTCAAGATTATGCATGATGAAACAATTACTGGACTCGGTTTTCGCATGATAGCCCCGGATAATAGCCCGTTTTACAGTTGTGGGCTTGGTGGCCAAGCCTTTGAACAGGAGTGAGGCTTAGGGTGACCTTGTTATGATAGAGATGGTGCTGCTTTTCAAATGCAAATTACTTTGTTATCATGCTAACTAGATACAGGTCTCTATCACAACAGTGTCACCTTAACCTCACTCCTGTTTAATGGCTTGGCCACCAAGCCCACAACTGTAAAAGGGACTATTATCAAGGCCAAAGTTTGTGTTATCCGCCTCAGCCTTCGGCTTCGGCCTTGATAATTATTCGGCTCTATCATGCGAAAACCGAATCCAATAATTGTTAACTATTCCAGGTGGCTGTTAATTGTGAATCCACTAAAATGTAGGGATCTGGCAAGCCCATGCTGCCATTCCAATTATAAGGTTTCCTGGAATAACTGAATTACTGGATAGATACAAAAGTGGTAATGATAAATTGGGTTTAAAGCGTGGGAGATGGCTGATGGGTACGGGAGGCTATTTCTGCCCACTGTTTCAAAGTCAAATGTGAATTTTTAAGTAGCAAGTTGGTTCTTTTACACCAAGGGCAGAAAACTGGAGAAGCCATACAAAACAAATTCATGGTATAACGAAGAAAACTTTTCCACTGCCCCACCCCTGCTATCTCCAAACAAGACTTACCCTCACACTTCTCAGTTCCATTCAGCACCATACAGCATTTATAACTGCCCATGGAGTTTGCACAAGTTGAGTTCATAGCGCAAATGTCTTTATGTTTGCATTCATCGATATCTGCATAAACAAAAATGATAAATTGTTTACCAAAATCATTGATTTCAATTTTTATGAAAAGCTAGTATTTCCGGTTTTTGTCACTCAATCCAAAATAACAGTTTCACTGCGACTTAATCAATATTCCAGATTTTAAAAAAAACCCTTGTCATACGACCAAAGAAGTTTTTGGACCCATTCAAGCCTTTTTGAAAATCACGCTGGTTTGTGTTATTCACGCTCGAGCCAAGCAATAAAAAATCTTTGTGACTATGCCTATGTGTTTTATATCAAATCAAATAAAATTTATGCGAATTTGTTGAGCGGCATAAATCCTAGACTTGTATTTGAAATGCTTATAGGTTGGATTTCTTTTCATTTTTGTACCTTGGCATGTGTTGTTAATCCCATGTGCAGTTTTCATTTCAAAACCCTTCTTGCAAAGACAGTCAAAAGATCCATCAGATTTTGGTCCGCAAATAGTGTCATTGGTGCAAAGTAGGCCTTTCTTGGAACACTCCGTCATTTCTGGAAAAATAAATTTATCAAACGTCCGGTGTGACGACTAGCTAAAGCAATCAGCCTAAGGAAGGAATGATTACATCTTAGATGAGGTAATTCTAGTGACTTTAACCTCAGTCAATAGTTACACCCTAGCATCAGTATGTATGTTCTCCATATTTTCCACTGTAAATTTCCTAGGTGCTGATAAGGAGAACTTGTTATAATCAAGAGCTTCTTTAGTCGGTGATCATTTCCTTTTTATCTCATGACCTTGATCTGCGTTTCGGATATTTTAGGGAGAAATTAGATACTAGTTTAGGGCCAAAGGCTTAAAACAACTTACTTTCACACTTTCCATCGACAGATTTCTTGTACTCCAAATCGCACTTGCAATCAGGTGTGTCAGGAAACAAGGGATCAACAACACAAACCGAGTGGTTTCCACACTGATGTCCTTTTGGACACTCAAGGGAATCTGAAAGTTTGGACATAACAAAATTAAGCTGGAGTTTCCAACTCTGGTGGTTTTTTAGTTGAATTCAAAGTCACCGTACAGTGGACGTGTGGTTTCATGGGATTGAAGGGGGTCGCTCAAGAGAGTTGGCAGTCGTTAGATCGAGTTTAAAGTGTACTCACAAATCACAACTGAACTTACCTCTACAAAAAATTCCATTTCCTGTCGAATTACCCTGACAGTAACACTTTCCAAACATGCATTTGGCCTTTTCGTGGCATTTATGTTCTTCGTCGCAGAGATGCAGTGGCGCTTTAAGGATACGACAAAAAATATTTTTTAATACCTGTGTCTCAAGGCCAAGCTATCTCGGCAAAAGTTTCCGTTACAGCTCACTGGTTATGCAGCATGAAAGAGCATTCGGATCGACAATTAAAACGTGATTGGAAAAACTATGTAGCATAGTATAGATTGAAGAGAGGCCCGCCTGTCTCTTCAACCGTACAAAGCTCTTAACGTGACGTGCCTTTAAAAATTAGCGGGGGGGAGAGGGTTGCACTGGTCTTTCTCTTGGTTCCATGGTCATGACACTTTTGGTGTCATGAATTCCCTATCTCTCACCATGTTTACAAGTGTTGCCTTCTTTGATCAGCTCGTCCTTACAAATGCACATCCCATCGACGCACGTCGACAAATGCTTATCACAGTCGTTATGACTGAGGCACTCTGTGTGAAAAGCAGAAAGATGATACATGTAAAAAGTCTGATATCTTTACAATTTGCACGTTCGAGCTCAATTCTTTATCTCAATATTTAAAATTTGTAAATAATCGTATAATTCAACTATTGGTTGCAAATCGGTTATTGATAAACTATCTATCTATCTATCTATCTATCTATCTATCTACCTACCTATCTATCTATCTATCTATCTATCTATCTATCTATCTATCATTTTAACTCAGCCCACCTGTACATGTGCCGTTCTTAGTTCTGATGAAACTTTTGTCACATCTGCATTTCTGTTTGCTGGGAAACAAGGGATCCACTACACATATTCCGCCAGTGCCGCACTGATGATTCGGTGAACATGGCAGGGAAACTAAATGTTAAGGTTAAAAAATAGTCACTTAAAGATTTCCTCCTTGGGTACAAATAAAAAATTCGTTATCATAACGAGTATAGCGTCAGCGTGTGTTCATCGAGATATGAAACACGGAAGAGGTTTGGAGAAGTGAAAGATGCAATAGGGTTGCTCGAGGTGTAGCCTGAGCAACACGTAGCTTTTAGCGTGTTGATGATAATAATAATGATAATAATGATAATAATAATAATAATAACAATAACAACAACAATAATAATAATATTAATGTTGATATTAACTTTCTTAACTACATGCTAAATGATGGTCAAAGCTCAGACACTTGTCAATCCCGACATCAAGGTATTTGGAGGACTCAGATTTCGTCAAAGAAAATCCTTTGATGCGAGAATCAAATCACATATTCTGTTTTATTATTTTGGCGATTCAAAAAGGGGTCTTTCTCTTGCATCTACGAGGAGAGACAGTTCATCTCAGCATTGAGGGATACTTCAATTGCGAAGAAAAAACATAACTGTGTCGTCAGTATACAACAGAACTCATGTGAAACGTACAAAGATACAGGTGTGTGATTGTTCTTTCTATAGACCTCCCAATTGTTTTATATCTCGATGAATGCACATCTTGCTCTCTGTTTTCTAACATTTTCGCCCTGGTAGCGTTAATCTCTCACACCCTAACCTCAGTATGCATGTTCTCCATACTGTTCTCTATACATTTCCTAAAGTGCTGAGAAGGAGAATTTGTCTAACAATTAAAAGCTTCGCTAGTTGGTGATCATTTCCTTTGTTCTCGTAAATCTATGGTAAGTTAAAAACTGCTTGTGCGGTTCAGTGCGTACACACACGTCTTTAGGGTGCGTATTGGGTATATGAAGCACACTTGCCCAATTGAATCATAGGAATCTACTAACTATTATATATGTTACAAACAAATCTGCTTACTTTAAACCTTACTTATAATACGACGATGGTTACAATTTTTACCTCTGCAGTATTTTCCATTTCCTGTCGTATTCCCTTGACAAATACATTTTCCCTTATCGCACTTTGCTCGCTTATCACAGTCGTTATCTTCTCTGCATTCATGAAGAGGGGCTGAAACAGAAATACTGTAAACTTACGGGGAAGAATTCGCCGAGCTTTGTGATAATTTGCTCAAATAATCGCAAGACACTGAATTTAATTTGATTCGCTGACACGTTTCACGTGAGGAGGGGAGGGTGGGGGAGATTGGGATAGACGAAGGGTAGGAATTTTGTGTGCTTTTGATGTTGTGTTTGTCCTTTCGGGCAGTAAGGTTTCAGCTTCTCAGACTAAGAATGATACAAGTTAAAAATGTTTGGTGTTCTTTATTAACGTGCTTCTGATTAAAAAAGAAGGCGCAAAAATTATTCTAAATATTTTGGATAACATAATTTATTTTCGCAGATTTTGTAATGAGGTGCATTTATATCTATATTTCAAGTGACCTTTTGCTCATAGCCACTTTTTCCACCAATTCAATGTTTGTTCGTTTTTCTATCTCATAGCCTTGAAAATATAGCACGGGAAAAGCATCACTTAATATCATTATTTGTTACGTAAAGGGTGAAGACATAAAATTGTCTCCGCGAAGTAGAGAACATTGCAACTGCGCATTTAAAGGACACCAAAATTTTAGGCTACATCTTTCTTACCAGGGTTGCATGTTTCTCCGTCCCGTATGAGTTCATCCTTGCATTTGCAAATCCCCTTATAGCATGAAGAGTAGATGGGATTGCAGTCCTTATCGCTTGAACACTCTATTACGAAAAGGAGCTTTTCATTAATCCAGTAGGACCATGGTTGGCGGGTAATTTATGCGTCACTGACCAATCTTGTAGAAGTCGAACAAAGAATTTGGTTCAATTTCATGGTCATCTTTTACTGCGTCAATCAAAGCACTCATTTTGCACAGCTAAATTTAGCAGGAATCCTCGCCACCTTTAGAGCAATTTTCGTTTTAGTGTCAAAAGTAATCCGGAGTTGCTTAGGTTTCGCTTTACTTCGCTCTGTGATTGGTTCAGAAAACTCGCGCATCTTTCTGAATCAATCAGATTGAAAACTAAAGCCAGTCGCGACTCGCATTTTCCCGTGCTTCAGGCAGCTTTCTTGTTTTTACCCTAAGTTCAGATTGGCTCTTCGTATTGTTTACCTTGCTATGATTGGCTGTTTTGATTGCTTTGGATTTGGTTTACGATAGTCAATCGAAAAGTGTTCTAATGCGATTGTTTACTTTTGGTTTAGTGACCTCGCTATTAAAGTAGTAGCGTGAAGAATAGGAAAAAAAACATTATTAAAAAAAAAAAACCACAGACAATCATTAATACTGGGCGAGTGTGCCTATCTGAGAGGGAGGTATGATAACAAAACATGCTTCTGCTTTCCTGCGAAGACGATTCTTAATTTTATTTGTTGGCAACTTTGACTAACGCTAGATTCTTTAGATACGACTCCTGTGCCAGGCTTGTAAATAGTTAACTGATTTGTCCCCTACCAGTTGCGGATTTCAACCATGTGATGTTTTATCTAGATTATTTTTCTTGTTTTAGAACATAAAAATGAAAAAGTTTAAGTTTTCTCATCAGTTCGAAATGATAGTGTAATATATCAAGAAAAGATGCTAAAGAAAAAAACAGGCTAATTTTGTTTAGCTTAGTGTGAGTTGGTCTCCAATTACCTTTTTTTCTTGAGGAACTGTCAGCTGCAATAATGACGCAAACATTTCATGAATGCATCATGGATGCGCACTTAATAAGGTCTCTCTATTTCAGTCTAGGCTATCATCGTGGACAAAACTTGGACATGTTAAACCCTTTGCACCCTAACATCAGTATGCATATTCTCCATACTGTTCTTCCTACATTTTCCATGAGGCTGACAAGGAGAAGTTATTTTATAAATAACAGACAGATGCTGTAGTTGGTGATTGATCATTTACTTTATTCTCGTGACCTTAATGTGAGATTTAGGGGTGCCACTGCGAGGAGAAATTAGGGATTTGTCACTCTTGGGAATCGGAGGGTTAAGCAAAATCGAGAATGGTATTTTATCAAACTGAGAATTTTTACCTTGATAATCATACAACGTCATATCATATTTCTAAAGTGGCAAGCAACACTCTGAACACTGGAGGACATACAATGCATCTATAGAATCTATGTACTTAGATTTGTTTCCACAACGTTTAAAACAGCACAACAAATGCTCTGTCATTTCTTTCAATTGTTGGTGTTCCCTAACATTGAAGATAGGGACGAAAATCGTTCCACTAACCTATACATCGACTTCCATTTTTGGATCTCACATAGCCTTTACGTAAATCACATCTGCAGAAGCTGTTTGCTGGAAACAAGGGATCAGTTAAACAGATCGCATGTTTGTCTGTGCACTTGAATTGCTTTGTACAAGGCTTTGTGTCTGAAAATGAAAGAAACTATTCTTGAACGATTTAACCACGTACCTAGCTATCACTGAACAAGTCAATTGCGAGGTTGAAATTCTTTACCGAAGTTTTTCTATTTACAATTTGAAGCCAGCAAATATTGTGCTCAAAAATAATATTCTGGTGCCTTTGACGGCAGGATCACCTTCTTAAAGCATTTCGTAGCCATCATAAGTTTGTATCGTGTTAAATAATAGTTAAATGGTACATTTCTGTTATCTATATTCTGTATGGGTAACATTAGTTCATCCGAACAGTGCAAATAAAGTTGAAGTTGAAGCTGAAGTTTTTGTTGTTTATCTAAACTAGTTGACCTTTTACACATTTGTATAAGCATGCATTTTCTCTCCACTATTCTCTATACATTTCCTAAGGTGCTGCTGACAAGGAGAATTTGTTTAACAGTCAAGAGCTTCTTAAGTTGATGATTATTTTACATATTCTCGTGAAGTTAATGTGTGCTTCCGGGATGGTGTTGTAGGGAGAAATTAGATGCTAGCCACTCTAAAGAGTCAAAGAGCACGTGGAAGAGGTGACTTGCCTTACCGTTGTAATTTATAACATTTTCTGGTTCCTTACCTCTGCAATGGACGCCGTCTCCAACGTGAGTTCCAACACAGTGGCATTGTCCGTCGAAACATTTTCCGTGTTGAGTATTGCATTCCTTATTCGAAGAACAAGACTTCAGCTTTGCTAGCGATATAAAGAACTGTGGGTTAAAATGTATTTCCTCAACTACTCCGATGATCTCTTTTCGGAGTGCATAGAAAAAGTGAGATTGGGAATGCGTGCCTAGGATTATGAAAACCTTAACTAACATCAATTTATAATCCCAAATATGAGACTTAAAGAGATGACCCAATCCAACGTAAACCACAGGCTCTTTCGCCTTTTTTTAGCCCAAACCCTCACTTTCCCAGAATTCGCGCAGACAGCGAGACCGAAGTGAGCGTCAAGGGACTGGGCTTAACGTTCGTTTATGCCATTTTTTGCTGTTTTTAGCGGCGGTCAGGGTAATAGAATGATCTCGAGTGCAGGAAAACTTTGTCTTTGTTTTGCATCTGATTGGCTGAGAGGGTGACGCGAGTTTTAGACCAATCACAGAGCAGGGTGAGGCAAGACTAATGAAGTCCCGAATTAGTTTCGATAGTCATTTAGGAATTGCGATAACAAGCAGTCTTCTTACGACGTTTGCATTTTTCCCCGTCTCCGATCAGTTCATGACGACATTTGCATCGTTTGTCCACGCACTCAGAATACCGAGGACAGTTCTTGTCAGTCAAACACGGAAACTTTCCGTCTTCACCAGCTGTGGAAAAAACGGATAATAAAACCAAAGAAACCACGTCAAAGTCACTTATCAATGTAAATTAGCTACCGTAAAGAGTTTCAAAGCTGACATTTTTAGCGTTAGCCTTTCGTTCAGAGCGATACGTTCGAAATGTCAGCTTTGAAACTCATTACAGTGGCTAATTTACATTATCAGCTCAGTTGATAACACCCCCCCCCCGCAAAAATAAGTAAACAATTATTTGGGGTATTCGCGGTCCTTTCTTCTACTCAGGAAATAAAAAGCTGCTTATGGTAATTAGAAATTTAGCTTGAAGTGAGGTTTAGAGAGTAGGAGAGAATTGAACAAACAAGGTTGTTTAGTTTCCTTCGCCTTGGGACCTCAACTCAGTTGATAAAACCAATTTACCTTGTTACCCCCACCGACGCAGCATCACAGTTTCGTAAAAACTTACCCTCTTTATACTTATTTGTTTATTTTGTTCTTACACTTGTTGCTTAAACGAATGAGGACTCTGCATGAGAAAGATGGTCGCCATGCATCCATGCATGAAATTATTTAGCACTTCTGAGACCGACTGGCTACACATTCTTTAGTGTGAATTTGATTAATTTACCTTCACCATGCAGGCATCCTGGAGACTTCGATCGTCCGAAATATCCTTTATCACATCTACAAGAAATCTCTGAGGATGACTTTTCCAAGCAGTGCACGTTCTTGGAAGACAACTGTGTACACGCAGTGTTACGTAAAGCAGGTGAACATTGCTTCCACTCTATGAAAAAAAAAATTAAAACAGAGGCGTCTTTTGGAGTACATTGAATTTTTTTCCGTTGTGACAAACCACCTTGAAGGAGAAAATCCCGTAGGCCGAAATTTGGACTAAGCTGTAACTAACGATGCGTTGGGAATCCCGAAACTTACACCTATCGTTATCATTATTAAGAGCAATTAGGTTTAAGCTCGGTTAGATAGAACACAAGAGCCAATGATAGACCAACGAACTTCAGGATATAACTAAAGATAGAGAAAAAAGTGCACATGACTAACTTAACAAACTTTGGCTAACCGATGACTAACAACTAGTTATCTTTATATTTAGGACTTTGTTTTGGAATTCCGTCACTTAAACTTGGCTCAAAGCAGCTACATGAAGGTATAATAAGATAAGGGGGTTGCCTGACATCAACATAACAACTGATATAAAATCAAAATATTTCTGTAGCTAGATTGTTATGCAATCAAGTCACGTGGGTGAACTTCTTTTAAGGATCAGCCGTATTAAAGATAGGCCTGTAAGCTGACAAATTTGGAACAAACAAAAGCCCTTGGCTATCCAGTGGCACATACTTTCGCACTTAGCTTTTCCGTCTCCAAAGGCAAATTTATCGATGCAGTGACACTCCCTTCGTATACACCTGGCTTTTCCCTTCAAACAGTCAATATCCGAGTCGCAACTTGCTGGTTCAGCTTAAAAAAAAATAGACACATTCAAATAATGAATAGCTTTTTAGTTGATGTATGCTGACCAAACTTCAATTTTGTACCCTCAGCAAGTGCGCTATTTCCTGAGGGTCTCAATGAGGTTATAGCCGTTGGCCGTAGAAGGGCTAAATATATTTAACCGTCAGTGGTAAAAAACATTCACCGTAAAAATGTTCCGTTAGCCGTAAAATGGTTAACCTGTTAACCATTAGCCCTTAAAGCCATCACCCCATCGAGACTCTGTTTACTCCGGTCTATGCTGAATAAACAACTCATGATTACGTGGACTTCAGGAACACTCTGGTAGCCCTTGCAAGTGTGGTGTAGATTCAAATACATTTCACCACCTGTAGTGCGCATAAAAATCACGTAATCAGGGGCCGGGAATAAGCGCGTGCGCATTTCGAGAACACGGTATTGTTTTTTAATCAATGGACCAAGTAAAGAGGCATGATGGTCTTTAGCTCTTAGACGAACACGGTGACCTATATGAAAAGCGCCTAAAAAGTGTGACGAGAAGTTAAACGCACTGGAGGACTAGACCGTCCAAAGAAGTTTCTTTCTTAATGGTGCTCAAGTCAGAAAGGTACTTACGGTAAGTCACCAGGTTGTTGCCTTTAGCTGCACCAGTGAAAAATACCATCACGAGAAACATTAGACTGACTATCTGCAGTCTTCTCGTGATTGATCCCATTTTACGCGAATGCTTTAATTCTCGGTTAGTTCTATGGCAACATGGTTGAAATTCCGATTGAGCCCTTCAATAATCTCAATTAACTCCGTCATAGATTGTAATTAGAATCGTACCTAATTTTCCCAGAGTTCTCCCTGAGCTGATTTGGAAAGAGAAGTGAACTCCCCCAAACTAAATCATTACGCCCTGGATCATTAACTTAAGCCACAGTAAACCAGATATGAGAGATTCAAAAGTTGACACTAAAGCCTCTGATTTTGAAAAGGACGTCTGAAACGAGGGTACTGTCGTGTGACGACTAGGCAACATTTAAGATGTTTTTCAAAAATTAGATTGGACGCCTTGTCTTATGGTAAATTTAAATATTAAGTCCTCCTTAACGGTAATACTACAGGGAAATGTTCAGCAAGCAAGCGTGGACGATAATCTCTTGTACACGGCCCCCCTAGGTGACCTAATAAGATACCATAACAAAGACTTCCATCTATATGCTGATGACACTCAACTATACACCACCTTCAGTTGCGATGATAAGAATGACCTTAC